GGAACATCAGGTCCCCCTCCCCCTCCAATGCCTGGAAGTGGCCTAAAATCTTCCCCCCTCCTAGGTCTAATAGGTCCATCCCCACTCCAATCAGAAGCCCCCTCATCCCTCCCCCCACCGCCCCCAGGTGGTTGGAACCCCCCAGCAAGAGCAGTAATGCGAAAGCAACCCCTAGCCCCAGAAGTGCCAATGAAACCCCTCTACTGGACGAGAATAGTAATTCCAGCCAATGCAACCCCAACAATTCCAGCGACTTCACCAGACGCTCCCCCCCAGGTGCCCCTCTGGATAGAAATTGAGGAGGAGAAGAACGTCAACATAAAGGAATTTGTGGATTTGTTTTCGCGTCAGGTTGTCGAGAGAAAGCCGACGATAAAGCGAGAGGAGTCCGACAGGCCGTCGAAAATTCAACCGGCCAAGATTCTTGACTCAAAACGATCGAAGAACGTTGGCATCCTGGAGAAGAGTCTCCGGGTGGACTTCAGCGAAGTCGAGAATGCGGTTTACAATCTCGATACGAGTGTTATTAGCCTCGAGGCACTCAGGCAGATCTACGAGGTGATGCCGACGAGCAAGGAGATTGAGGAGATTACGACGCACGAGAGAGAGCATCCTGACGTACCCCTGGACCGTCCAGAGCAGTTTCTGAAGCAGTTGTCGACTGTCAAGTGCTTCAGGGAGAGAATAGCCTGCCTGATGTTCCAGTCGGAGTTCCATGACGCGGTTTCTGGGGTTTCAACGAAATTGACGAATTTACGGGCGACTTGTGAGTTCCTGAGAAATGCTCCGTCCCTCAAGAGAATTATGGCACTAATACTGACCCTTGGGAACTACATGAATGGGGGGAACAGAATGAGGGGGCAGGCTGATGGGTTCGGTCTTGAGATATTGGGGAAGTTGAAGGATGTGAAGTCCAAAGTTCCTGGTGTGACTTTGCTGCATTATGTGGTGAGGGCAAGGCTGGAGCAGGAGGGGAACTACAATTTTGATGAGATGATCCCACTGCCCGTTCCGGAGCCTGGGGACATTGAGGCTGCTGCCACCATTGACTTCGAGGAGATTACGAGGGAATTGGAGAGACTGGATAAGGAGATCAGGACGTGTGAGACGAATTCGGCGATTGTTATCGACAGTTGTCCGGAGAGTTCGAGCGCTTTTAGGGAGAAGATTGAGGGCTTCTTGGGGAGGGCCAGGAACGAACTGGCGAATGAGAGGGAGAATCTCCAGGAGGGCAGGGCCAAGTTCAGGGCTGTTATGCATTTTTATCAGTATGTGCCTAAGGGCGCCACTATTGACAATGCCGATCCCAAGGATTTCTTCCTCCTCTGGCTGCCCTTCTGCAGCGACTTCAAGGACATCTGGAAGAAGGAGCAGCAGAGGCTGAGGAAGGAACGAATGGCCATTGTGAGGAAGAAACTGGGACGCACTCGAAAGGTCGAGACCATGAAGGTGGAGCCGGGGGGGGTTAAGGCGAGATTTTTAAGACTTATGGAGAGGGACAAGAGATAGTTCAGAGCTAATTGGGCAGTGGTAATTTAGGGTGGATGCACAAATTATGGAACGTTGGAGGCGTCGTTTATATATTTTATTTCTACGTTGTGAATTGCGACGGGAGTTGGATGGATGGTGATTAGTGGAGGGATTGATGAGGGGTTTGGTGTTGGCTTTTGTTGAATGTAGTCCGTGATTTTAGGAAGATTCATTGGAGGAACAATGTTCAAAGACAATCTTTGTGATTATTATTAGTCTGGATGATTATTTGTAAAGTTTAGATGTAGGTTTATGTAATTGTTGAGGTGATGAAGTATGTGTTATTTATTACATTGTCGCACGAATTGTTTCCATATTTGTTAAATTATTTTGAATAAACGAGGAAGAACAGGGATTATTAAATGAAATTCATGTGTTTATTAATTCTTCAGCATTTTTTCTTCTTCGAATTTTCCCCAAGCATTGTTTTCATTTATTATTCGTTCCCGTCGGCTATTTCGAAAAGTCGAAATGAAGCCGAAAATGAACTTTTCTGAATTAATGGTGATTGAGGAGTTTCCTTCCCTCGCCCTTTAACAAATAGTGGAATAGGTAAATAAGCAATGATCATACACCGTCTTTAAATATATATCTACATATATATTTTTCACAGCGTTATTAGCGACAATACAGAATTTTACATTAAGGCAGAATAAAATTTCTCATATAAATCGTTAATACATTAATCGTATTAGAAAATGATATTAGAAAACTGGGAGTTTATTGTTAATTGCATTTTTTTTCAATACAAAAGAATTGGAATTGAGGGCCTTTTCTGGTGAATTTTCTCAACACCCACACATTTTTTAGAATATTTCACTTATCTATTGCATTAAACTTACTTTCAGATCCTCGGAAATAATAAATGAAGAAAGAACAGAATGATGTTGGCATGCATTGAAAATGAAGAGCTAATGTTTGTTTGCATTTATGATTTGTGCCTCATGAACGTTCAGGCTTGCTTTGATTCTCATTCACTTAATGTTTTCCTCCTTTTTACAATCTTTTTATGCTAACTACTCTTTAATACCATGTTTTCTTCATTGGAGCAAGAGAATCAACCAATATTTACACAATATATTCCCCCGCTCATAATTGATGATCAATTATGCATCTGTCGAATTAAGCAAAAGAAATTGAAATGTATAAATAACAAAAAAGGATCATAATGCATGATTGCAGAGAAAAAAAATCAATGGAAAACGATATTATTCTGATGCACAAAACACTCACATATACTATTCAACTCCTATTTTAGGATGATCAATTGTATCATTTATTATTATTTATTACAGTTTATAAAAACGATCAATATCTATTCCCTAAATCGATGAAATTATATTAGTTTCAACTTTAATTCATCATCTGTCGTTTTATTTAATCAAATAAAGTGTTTTAGCATTTTCATCTCATTTCAATATATTAAAAAAATTTTAACAATGACAAATGTGATGTTCCACTGAACATCGAGTGCTCTGTACCGAATTCATAATTGATGTTATTTTATTACCCCCGAACCGTGACAGAGCTCGATATTCATGTAAAATCACATTAATCCTTTTAACTATTTAATCTTTTACGTTTTAGTCGAATCCTTAGAATTAAATCTTCAGATTAAAAACTTCATACGATACTACCAATATCTCATAGAAATTGTTTTCTTCACTGGTATTATTATTTTCATTTTTTGAACTCATTTGTGATTAATTAAACGCAATGGCATTTCAAAAGGTGCGGTAATTTTCTCGTCGATCTCTTCATGCTGATGCATGACATAATATTAGTATCTCTTCATTTTCTTTAAGAACACTTTACTTCTTTGATAATTGACCAGTGGCCAATGAATGACTCGTATTTTACAGGGCTTAAACTAGGAAACAGAGAACTTCATTTCTCTTCATTAATTAAGAAAAAGACTGATAAACGACGGAGACTCGATAATGATATTGAGTTCACACATGTGGATCTCTCATAGATACTTTTTCTTTCATATAATCTAATACTCATTTATATTAATCGTATTGCCTATTTTCATAGACAATTCTAACAGTTATGCTCACCAGCACTGCGAAAACATTTTTATAGAATTTTTTTCCATATTTTTCTTGTTTGAAAATACAAATAGCCGTAAGAAAGCTCGTATGAAGTATGCATTTTTATCGTATGCTTATTTTTTTTTTCGTTATTAGTTATTATAAGTCTGTTATTTGAATATTTTATTCAATTATAATCTAAATGGTGCTCTCTGCTCGATGGGCGTAGGTTTGGCTCCTTTTCGCGAGCTCAGTGGAGTGGATACTGATGTGTCAGACGCACCTGATGGCTTTCTTGATAATTTCGAGCCCGGTGGTAATGGCGTTGTCGAGCCACTCGACGGTGTTCTTGTTCTGGGGGATTCATAACATGAATTTAGCTTGGTATTGGGGACTCTGAGGGGGGCGAAGCGACAACGTGAAAACACGAGATTCTGATACACACGCAGCGGGGGAGGGAAGAATTATGATGCTACTGTCGACAGGGAGGAGTGATAATTAAGCAGATTTAGTGAGGAGTTTGAGCCAGTTACCTAGCTTGCTTTACAGCTGATGATGTGTTAGTTGCTGAACTGGTATTGACCGAACTGCCCCTAGCGTTAATTATAAGATACAGAAACATGAGTTTTGAGGTGATTATTCTCCCATAGAAGAATGTAAAATTTATTCTCCTTCCGAATTAATGAGATTGTGAATATTTCGTTATATTCACAATTAGTCGTTCTAAGGGAAAATTTCAGGAGACATTTCAATAGTTCAAAATTCTTCGTTTGTTTGATTTCTTGAAAGACAAAATTAAAAAATATCTTTGACAAAATTTATTTTTTCTTCGAGTCAATGTTAAATTGTGGATTATTCAGTGATGAAGTGGTAAACGAGAAAAGTTTATTTTTCAGTCCTTTGTTAAACATTTAATTACTGCAGATAATGAACATAGAATGGAAAATACTTGATACGTATTTTGGTTTCATATCGGAAAATTGGGAATATACTCCATCTTAATTATATCATGATTTTTACTGATAAAAAAATGTTTATGCACCACTTTACTACTGAGTTGAATGAAAAATAGAGAACCAAGGGAATAATACTAGATCTGACTTCACCTTCCTTTTTTAAATCTGATTTTTTAACAAATTATTTTTTTATCGTTCGGCAAAAAGACTTTTAAGAGCCACTCGACTACTGAATAGAACAAATAATAAATAATACAGTGAATAATTCTACATTTGACTACACCTTCCGTTTTTTACTCGATTTTTTTACTAATTATCTTTTTTTATTAAAATCAATCGATTAAAAATGTTTTGAAGTCTTTTTATCTTTCGACAAAAAGACTTTTAAGCGCCCCTGGACTACCAAATTAAATAAATAACAAATAATCAAGTGAATAATGTTTATTCTGACGTCCCGTTCCCTCCACAATTCTACCCCAATGTCAACCATGCGTAATCAAACCCAAAAAAAAATACAAATAAATCACTGAAAACACGAACCAAAGGACAATTACACAAACAAAACAATGCACGGATATCAGGCATTACCCAGTGGAGTCAGTTGATATTGTTGAGTGGTTGCTTTGCGTGGAATAAGTTGAGAAATTACTCGTTGTCGATTGGGGAGATTTAATTTCCGGTCCAACGTACACGGGAATCCGAGAACGACTAAACCATCACCATACCAGAATGATTAATAAACAAACCCAGAGTTAATGATAAAGATAAAATTTCACACAGATGTTAGTAAATTCAAGCATTTTTTGTATTCTTCAATCTTGAGAAGCATCCCAACCCATTGCCAAATTATTGCAGCCCAATTTCGTCCAAAAGGACTGATGAATTATTAATTTTGCTTTACCTATACGGTGTTCCGACACCAGACAGAGTTGGAATGCTCGATGGTCGGTATAGATTTGAACTCACTCTAAAAATAATTGTTACGACTATAAATTAGTATCTGCAATTTAATATGCTGTGGTTTTTAATTAATTAAACTGCACTGATTAAAATTTTAATTGATCATTACTGCAGTACGAAGAGCTTTAATAAATACTGTTCAATAATTGACATGTTAATGATTATAAAAACAATATGAATGTAAATAATGGGTTTATGCAACTAGATGCTGTGCAACTGAAATGCAAATTCCGGGTATTGGATTGAAAATAAAGATGAGTGGAACAATTGTGTCTGGGGGATGTCGACGTACCTTGATGGCACTCCACTGGCAGGACTCATTAGCCCAGTTGGTGTGCGTGAACGTGAGGATGAGCCATTGACTGGAGCACCCAGTTTTCTACCGGAAACACTGTTGTGACGACTTGATGTCGGTGTGTTTCCGGTTGTTCCCACACTTCTTCGGGGAATACGACTCGGTGTGCCAGACTCATCGGTACTGTCCAGGGACTGGGTCGAGCCGTAGCGACTCGGTGGCTTGCTGCCTGTTCTCGATGCCGGCCTACTGCTCGGTCTACTCGCTGGACGAGACGCTGGACGACTGGACGGACGACTGCCTCCTGTAATTAATTTAAAGTGACGTCGTGAGGATTTTTATGAAATTCGGATTGATCTATTCAGAAGGGAATTCCGAGATGTTTTGGAGAATTTCTTTCAACTGGAGACAAAGTATTTTGACATTCTGTTCTACAATTATTCATTGTTGAGTAAAGGGTTTTCGCATTTTTATTTCATTCGATGTATTGAAAAGATTTCAACGAGAACGGATGTTGTTTCACGGAATAGTGAATGGCAGAATTTTTTTGAATTTTTTTACAATTTTTTTATGCTAACTATACTTTAAACACAATGTTTTCTTCATTATATTGCCCTGTTCCTAATTAATGATCAATTATGCATCTGTCGAATTAAGCAAAAAAAAATTGAAATGTATAAATTGCAAAAAAGTGTCATTATGCATCAAACACTCACATATACTATTCAACTCCTACTTTAGGATGATCAATTGTATCATTTATTATCATTTATATCAATCGTATCGCCTATTTTCGTAGACAATTCTAACAGTCCCGCTCACCAGCACTGCGAAAACATTTTGTATAGAATTTTTTTCCATATTTTTCTTGTTGAAAATACAAATAGCCGTAAGAAAGCTCTTATGCAGTATGCTTTCTCATCATATTTATCATTCTAATTAATCTCGATAACAAGTAAAATGATAAAGAAAATTCTCTCCCTTGAAATAACCAATTCTCCAGATAACTCCAACAAAAACGTTCCATTAAATTTATTTCCTAATTAAATAAATACCTGGTGTTACAGCACTTCTGTAAGGCGTGCTTGTCTTCCTCGCTGGCAATCTGAAGGAGCTCTCGTTATCGCTGAGGCTGTCTGGTGTTCCTGCACTCAACGAAGTGCGCGAGGCACGTGTCTGGCCCATGGGAACGCTCCTGGCGCTGCGCTCTCGAACCTAAAGGATCATAAATTCCTCAGTCTCTGTACCTCATGATTCAAAGGCTCGGGGTAATGTGAGGGGTTCAATGAGTCTACGAGCAACATCCAAACACTAAAAGTGAGGTATTACTATCGGTAGTGTGGACAGATGACTTAATTCAATGAATCAAAAATTAGAAACGCTCTAAAAAATTTTAACTGCATTCCTAATTCGATTTCATTGAGGAGAAAACGTGTGTATACATACCCACAGCTTCTACTAACGAATTTACAGGTTTTCTAGTAATTATTAATTGTAATAAGCCAAATTGCACGAGATTTTTCCTCTTCCATTCATTAAAATTTGCAATTTCTCGGCCATTTTGTCTCTTCATTTTGGTTTATTACAATTTAACAGACAAATCTATCTACAAAACATGCAAACTTACCACGATAAGTTGGGAAAGATACAGTAGCTTATGGTGATTCGAAGTATCTCCAATAAACGCCACTATTTTAGCGTCGATTATACTAATTATCGGTAAAGATATTCAATAACTCCAAACGATTCTCTCTAATTCGATCTTATCTCGATTTAATCCAGTGCAAATCGTCAAGTACCATCATGCACTCATTAACATTATTCTTTGAGAATAAAAGGGGGAGAAAATTCCGAGGCGTTAAAAATGCATTCAAATACGAAATCATCAAAACTATAATCGAAACATTTCAAATGAATGAAAGGGAATAAATTCAATGGGATGAGTTGAAGATTTTGAAGATACTTTCTGCATTCGGTGCACATCTAGGGGGGCAATTCCATAACAATACTGCATACAGTAAAATAAATAATAATACTTCATTCAGTTGTGAAGTGGCTCTTGAGGAATATCTAAATGGAGACAATGACATTTTTGTTGAGAGAAAATTCTCCTAAAAATCGCCATCACCTATTTATTTCGAGACATTCCTCAAAGGCAATATTGCAAATAATTCATTGAGAATAATTCACAGTTCGCATGCATCAAACAACATCTAGATTAAAGAAATCCAGGCAAAACTAAAATTTCAACAATTAAACCAAAATCACAATGATAATTAGAACGAATTCACCAAGAAACTCAATCAGAATTTGAAGAGATAATTTTGTTATTTACCCAGTGGTAAGAGGGGGCGTGCATGTGAAGAGGATACGAGCACGGAAGGTCCTCCTTTTGCCTCAAACTCTCAAATATCGGCATCAGCTGGCTCATAAACTCCTCCGCTACACCAAATCATCAATCAAACTGAATTTATTTCTCTTATCTCACCACATCTCTCAATTCTTCATAAAGAATTTTTCATTCAACTGAAAATAAATCATTAAAATGCCTATCCCATCGGTCTAGAGTCCCTAACATTCCCGAGAGGGGCCGAAATCACATCTCCTGAGGTTCTTTTCTCAATCCTTTGTACCTATCCTCGAATAAATCATCCTTACCAATCCAACTAAACCCCAGTACACGATACACAGATTAATATACCATCGAGGTGTAGAGTCTGAGAGAAGGTAAGCGTGTCCATCCAGTGTCTTCTACTTAATTGTAAGAATCATGCTGCATGCCAATTGTCGTAAAAATTCGGGTACGTACCGAAGGTTGAAAGCGTCTGAACGCTTTTTTGGAGTTGCTCGTGAGTGATTGCGTGTGCTTATAATTAATGTGTGGATGCAAGGCGAGTGGGTGAGAGAGGCTCCAGACCCTCGTGGATTCAGTTGAGAAAAAATAAATGTCAATCTTTTTTTTTCGGTAAGCAAAGAATAGTAGACGTGAAGAAAGTTCATGGGAAAAACTGGCGAATTCGATAGAACATTCTATTGGATTTCGAATTAAAATTAGAATTCTGTTAGTGTTCGGCTATTGAAGACTTGCGCAGCTCTATTGCACGTTTTTCTATAGAAAATTGGCAATAAAAATTATTTTATAGAAACAAATTAGCTGAATTCGATCTTTCTATACAACTTTCCTTGACATGAATTTTCCTAGTTTTTCGCACTCTATTCTCCCCATTTTTCGTTAAAAAAATTGAACAGAAAAACTTCATATCTCATTATCTCATTAGAAAAAGTATGGAAAAATCGAATTCTGTGAATTTTTTTTTATAGAATATCTTCTATTAAACATTTTCACTTTCTATTTTTATTTTTCAATAGAAATCCCCCCAAAACTGATAGAAATTTCAATCGAAAATTCTATTGGACAATCTATTGAAAATTCTATTAATTTCCGATCGATTTTATTTTAGAGCTGCTCACTTTTACTACAGCCTTTTTCAAAATAGAAAATGTCCAATAGAAACTGTTTTATAGAAAAAACATCCAGTACGATTTCGTCTTTCTATACAATTTTTTCTGTTAAAACATTTCCTAGAGAAATTCCTCATCATTAATTTTTTGTTTTTTCTTCTTTCATTGAAAAAAATCAAACAAAAAAACTTGGAAAATTTGAGCCGAGGAATTTTTACAGAAAAAAACGGGTAGATAAGATATGAAATTATTCAATAGAATTAGTCAAAAACGAATAGAAAGTTCAATAAAAATCCAATCGAATTTTCTAACGAATTCGCAAGATTTTCTTTGAAATTTTTTTGTCCACTTTTTTATTAAATTCTCAGGCCACGAGTGTCAGGGGCTGAATGATGGTATCAACAAGACACGATTTGATAATCATATCTCGAAGGGTCATGGTACCTATGGCTTTTGATGTTACCTTAGTTATTGGACCAGCTGAAGACAATGGTGTGCGTTGTAGTGTCGATGTTGGACTTGGTTTTGATCTAAACGCTGTCATTGTCTGGCTGACACCATCCGCCAATATGAATTGCTCCCGCAGCTCAATATTCGTTCGTCCTTTGGCTACAGTGTGTTGGCGTGCACGCAGTTCAGTTAATTTAATTTTTAGTTATTGATGGGAGAGGGGTTGGGGAGAGGCCGGGGGAGATTATGTGCAGATGTATGAGACAGAGACAGAGACAGATCAGAGCAGAATGGAGAAAAACGAGTAGTTACAGATGAGATTTCATTAATGAGATTGAGTGAATGAATTTATCATTTGACGAAAATTCAGGAGTCATGCGTGAAATGAAATCATAAAATTCAATAGTTTCAGAGGGTTGAAGCAAGTATGTGTGTATTTGTGTGAGAAAAAAAGAAAAAGAAAATGGTAAATTAGAAATAATGAAGTAAATAAAAATCGTGTAATTATGGAGTATAAAATAATACTTTATACCAGTGTTTTTTCAATATTTTCCTCTTTATCAGTATTTCGCTAAATGAAATTGAAATTAATTGAAGCCCTAATGATTTTAAATCATTACTTCAATACTGGCAGGATTATTTCTCAAAAATCGGACAATTTGTGGGAAAAAAACAACGAAAAAGAAAATGATAAATTGTAAATAATGAGGTAGATAAAAATAGAGTAATCATAAGGTTGAATAACACTTCACGCCAGTGTTTTTTCATTATTTTTCCTCTTTATCAGTATATCGCTAAATGAAATTGAAATTAATTGAAGTCCTAATGATTGTAAATTATTACTTCAATACTGGAATAATTATTTCTCAAAAATCAGACAATTTGTGTCAGAAAAAAAAAAGAAAAAGAAAATGATAAGTTAGAAATAATGAGATAAATAAAAATAGTGTAATCATGAGAATGAATAAAACAATACTTCACACCAGTGTTTTTTAATTATTTCCCTGACTGTCGTCTTACTTTGAAGAAATATCACATTATTTCGTTGAATAAAATATAACTGAATTATAGTCCTCACGATTTCAAATCACCCCTTCAACACCGAAATAATTATTTCTTCAAAATTAAACAACTATCGTTTCATTACGAACGAAATTGAAAAAAATGTCACTCATCACGAGGAGTTAAAAAAATTATCCACGAAAACGCCAACACCATGCTAAAATACTCAATAAACTCATAAAATAAAACCAACTCAGTACACCACCGATATAACCATACCATTTGACGAACCAAAACCAGATCTTTCGTATCTCAAGCTCAACTAAAGAGTCAACTATCCTCGAAAAAACGCTTCACACGTGATATCACGAATAATAAAAACTTAACAACAAAATGAGGAAACAAATCAATAATCCCTTGAACCAGTTAAACAATAATTACAGAATGTCAATTTCCATGCGACACAGATGAATGGTATTAATTCATGGTCTATACTTCATAATTACCCTACAAATTGAAATTAAATACTAGAAATTATCGAACAAAAATGCTAAACATCTACTTGAAAATAAAACTCGTTCAATTGTCTACGTTCAACTATTTTTCTACCGTAATAATAATAAAGTATAGACAATGAATTGACATGATCGTGCAATGAGGCCTCACCGAGCGGACACCAACCCTCGTGTTGTTCCGGCTTGTTAGGGTCCGGTATTGGCATTAGAAAGACTTGAGGAATGATGGATAATGTTAATTCACTATTAATTTCTTCAAATGATTTCGGTATGACTCATGCATCATTGAGACATTGCTCCCAGTTTCCAATTACATGAATAATTAATTGAAATTCATTCAGATTAGGTAAATAATCCTGTCGCCCCATTTTGGTAAACAGACGTGATGAAAATAAATCACTAATGAGCAATCAACTAAGCAAAGCCAAGAATACACACACCCCTTAACAGTTTCACACGTTAGATCATCGAATAGTGGCGATTCATTCGTTTCTTAGAGTTTAATTAATCATTAATGTTTTTAACTGTTTCTTGTTACCTCAGGAGTTGAGATCGCGTGGGATTATTATTATTAATATTATTGATTATTCATTGTGAGAGCCCCGTGCATTTATTCACTTGCTAAATCGTTAGACACTCATTATTGATGCCTTCTGTACAGTTATTCATTCGTTAAATTATTATTAATTTATTTTGCTGGGCTATCGATGGGTTAGAACATACAGTGAAATTAATTTCATGAACAGTGATTAATCCACGTAACTCTGAATTGATAATTAATTGGTTCGAAGTTTCATGAGTCGCGTAAAATTGACGGGATTTTTTTTTAGTGAGAATTGCTGAACAATTTCTAGAGAATTTGGAATATTCATGATGGTCTTTTTACGACGCGAATGCTTTCATCTTAATTTTAGAATTGGCTTTTGGGAATGTAGAGGACTTACCGCGACAGGGGTCGTTCTTCACTAGGAACTCATCCAAGGCCACCCAGCCACCTCCCACTCGGACCATTACGGTTGAGCGGAGGATACGAACGAGACGCAGCTTTTGACTGTCTCCAAACTGAAATGATAATTAAGGGGGTACATTTCGGTGCATCATTTTTTTAAATATAATTTTTTAAGCAATTTTTTTTTACTCATCATTGAGATTATTACAGATTTAACAGAAATTTTATAAATTATTTCATATTTTGGAATTGTTAATGATCTAGAAGTGAGCGGATTTTAGAAGGAAATGGCAGAATTTTATTTGTAGACAATTTCGTTAAATTAAAAAAAAAATTGAAGGAATATGAAATTGTTTTGATGTTTCTAGCACAGAATGCCGAGAATTTTTGTAGAAAAGTGTTGACTTGCTTGTGAAATAAAATATTTTCTTCTAAAATCACTCATTACCGAGATTACAAATGTTTTCCTCTGGCATTATCGTAAAATGTCAGGAGATACTTTTTGTTCTCAATTCTCCCAACTGAAAAAAAGGTTTGTATTGTCTCTCACATTGAATAAAATGACAAAATATGATGATTGAGTGGAAAATATTAAAAAATCAAGAAGTCAAGTGCATTATACCTAATCCATTGTTAATTATTCATAAAAAATCTCAATTATTAAAAAATAAAAATCGATAAATCCTAAATTCTACTCATCAATTAAACTCACTCTATATTTCCCTTCACCAACTTGGAAGACCCTGAACTTCTGTCTGCAAGTACACAGCATGACAAGCCTCTTGACCTCATCATGGATCTTATCAGTGTCATTGTAAGTCTTCCTCTCCTCCCAATCGGGCCTCAATGCAGCGATGAATTCCTTCCAGTCAATGAGACCCTCACCATGTCTATCGAACAGATCGGCGACAGCATTCATCTCCAACCTCGACGTATCGAATTTCGTGTTCATGATGCCATTGATGAAATCGTCCCTGGGAATGAGGCCGTCATTGTTCTTGTCCATCTTCCTGAAGAGATCCGTCAGTCTCGATTTCTTGTGGTTCATGAACTTGAGGAATCTCTTGCGCCACTCCTCCCAGCTGAAGTTCTTGACTCTATCGAGTTCGTCTATGTAATTGAGTTTGTCCTGGAGACGACGCTGTCTCTCCCAGGCCATCATCCAGACGTTTCTCCAGCGGTCCCACAGGAGCTTCACGCGGGGATTGCGGAACTCTGGCTCAGCCCCTTTGCTACTTAAATTCATTAATTAGGATTTATTTGTGTGGATTGGTAATTATCAATAATTATTCATAATTATTTTATATGGTTTGATAAATCAAGTTTTACGAATTAATAAAAAGGAAATTTAAATTAATGAATTTGGTTTTTCGTTTATATGTTGAATGTCAAAATATTGATTGAAAACCAAATTATTAGAAGCGGAATTTATATGAAACAATTTCATTTTTGATGAACAATTTCGGATTCAAGGGGAATGTCTTGAAAAAAAGAAGAAATAAATTTTTAAGACAATTTAATCGACTTCGTAATTATTTTTCTCACAACTCCTGACCTTTCTTAAATCAAAGAAATTTTTCTTTTACTTTCACCGTTGAAAATTTTTGGCAAAAATTTCCGGGGGAATTCTTTGAAATTCTTATCAGATTAGTTGGACTAAAATCTGAAGGAGTTTCGAGATTAAAAATGAAAAATTCCATGGACAAATCGATGGAAACTGTAGAATTCCTCATAATTATGCCACGAAAATGAATAACAATCTGGGAAATTCAGGTAAATATATTCTTAAATTTCCAATGGATTAAAAATTCAGCGTAATTTAGTAATGAATACTCAATGTTCATTCCAAATTTCAAAGAGTTGGAAAATTCTCGTCCTCCTGCAGCTGAAAACTATCTATTTTCATCAAACATTCAATGAAACCTGCACTTTCCGAATTTCCCCCCCCTTAAATCAAATTTAATGTCATTCTCTGAAAACGACTACTCATCTCTCCATGAAATTTCAATTTCCTTCTAGCCGTACTCAATAAACTTTTTGTTATCTCCTCTTGATCCACAAACATTCATCATAAACGACATTGTTATTCATCTTTTGCTCATCAACTGGAGATTGTCTTTCCAAGCAACAGAGATTCACCCACGCTGAACCCAAAAACACACCGTCCTCAACCATAATGTTACTCAAGTACATCTCACACACATTTTACAATTGATTAAGAACTATGATCTTCGATAGGATAGTTAGTGGATAAATTGAAATAGCAATGACGAACCTTCCTTTGGGTGGGAAGCGCGGCCCAATGTGTGGCAGATTAGGATCTGGTGTTCTCTCACGACCTGGACTGGCTCGGCTAAACAGGAACATGCGTCAAATCACTCATAACACTCTACTCCAACTATTTAAATCGGTATCGAGCAATGTAATGCTTTCGTCTTTTAACATTTTCACTTCTTCACGTATATTTGACTGTAATATTTGTATTTCTGTATCGTGTACCGATGCATTGTCTTCAATATCATCATTTAATTATTAAATAATAGGAGAGCTTATTGACTTTAAATAAATTAAAAAAAAAAATCCTTAAATCCTGGAGATTTAAAAAATCATAAACGATTCAAAAAAATATAAATAAATGTGTGATGTATTAGGAAGCATGCTGTCCATTAAAACAATACAAAATGCAAGACAAAACACAGTGTAATGAATTGTTCTGGTGCAGAGTCTATGTACAACAGAATGTTGGAGTGAACACAAACAATGGAAATGATAAATGAGCAAGCATACCTTCCACGTCTAGATTGCAAGAGGTCTCGGCTGCCCTTGAAGCTGGAGAAATAAAAGGAAACGAAACGAAAATGAATGGAGGGTGTGAAAACCTCATAAAATCGCAAATAAACAAAAAACAACGATAGTAATTACACTGTTAAAAAAATTGTGGATTAAATTTTTGGTACATTTCTTGGAAATTTTTATCGAATTTAGTCACTGAAAATTCGAAATTTGATGAGAAACTCAATGGAAACTAAATTTCAGTTCAATTATCATTATTATTATTCAAGTGAACGCATTCTTGAATTTTTTTATTGAAATGGCAAGCAATTTTGGTATTGAAAATTCACAACTTGATGGAAAACTCAATGAATACTGTAAATTTCAGTTCAATTATAATAAAATTATTATTCCATAAAAATTATTGGAAATCAGGAAAATTCAGCGAAATGAATTCTTAAATTTCGGAGAAAAAAATTTGAAGGAATTTTGGTATTTAAATTTATAATGTGATGAAAAGCTCAATGAAGACTGTAAATTTCCGTTCTGAAAATCATTACTAAACTGTCTATGAAATTCCAACTCCTTCCTAACAGTGCAATTAATCATTTCTAATAATCGAACTTCTCTAAATGAATTCTGATCATAGAAAACATAAAATTGAAACATGAAAACAAAAAAAATGAGACAAACCTCTGCTTGCGGAGTGGCTGATCGTCATCGGTGTCTTGGTACAGACCGTCCTTACTACTTCATTGTTAACAAACAATCGCAACATGCAAACAGACAAATGATTTACAAAAAGTGCGATACGAGCAAAAACGAAAAAAGTGAAGCAGAAAAAAACGTGGGATGCACACAAATGAAAAAGGTTCTTTACCACCAGAACATCTGATGAAACCAAAACAAAAAACAAATACATAGAGATGAATTGTGCATTTGACCAACAGATGACGAAAAAACTGCTCTTCAAAAATTATTATTTCAAAATTAAATAAATGACCAATACGTACACAGATCCAGACAGTTTCGACTTGGACATCTTCCTGGGATCTTTGACAGATTTGATCTGCCGGGCCTTGCAGACACTGTCGACCTCATTCTGCCTGCGACTAGTATTCTCCATGAATTCCCTGTGATCAGCAATGAGAACCTCCAAACTGGGACGATCATCAGGGAGTTCCTCAGACTCCAGAGTGATCAACGTGTGAGTGAGTCCCTCAAGCCAAGCCAATAGCTCCTCCAGAAGATTATCAAGATCCTGGAGTCCTTGCATATGGCTCTCGAGCCTCTGGTTCCTCTGATGTGCCCAAGTGGCAACCTCATCCCACCTGGACTGAATAATAGTGATCCAGTGTTTGATAACAGCAGCTCCATCAGGATGAGACTTCCCCAGAATGGTGTGAGCAAGCTCCAGAGTGCGATCCTTCTCCACCTCCTTCTGCTGCAATTCCCTGAGGAACTTCTCGTGCTCCATTAGTTGATTTCTGCTCTCCTGCTCGTCCTCAGGCAGTTGTCCAGCAAATCTGAGCTTCATCTCGGCATCACTGAGCCACTCCAGCAGAACATGAACAGCTTTGTGAAGTCTCTCAGCATCCCTGAGTGCCTCCTCCAGTCTCGACGATTTATTAACAGACAATCTGTTAACAGTATTCCAGAGTGAATTAACCTCACTCAACTGCGACCTGATTGTCGAGGCATCCTCAATAGTAGCTTTCGACTCCAACTCCCTTCCAGTCCTGATGACAGACTCCATCTGGCTGGCCCGCGACTCCAAATCCCTCTCGAATGATCTGTGCTGCTCATACAGATTGGTAACAGTATCGAGATCCCCATGAAGCGGTCCAGGATTGGCCAGCATTTTCTCGGTCTTCTGGAGCCAGTCCAAAAGTGCCTGAATGGCGTCCTTGAACTGTCCAGAGAACAGCAGAGCCTCCTCCAGCTTCCTCTGCCTGTCGACACTCTTACCACAGACAGTTGTCCACTTGCTCTTCAACTCAGACAATAATTCCTTCAACGCTGGCTCATCAGACTTGGGTGCCTTGTCCTTGAGAGTCTTCCCAGACTTCATGGTGTTGTCGTATGTTCCCTGCTTGGCACTGAGGGCCTTCTGCACCTCACGATGTTTATTCAACCTGAATTTAATCTTCTCTGGGTCGTTACCACCAACTCCCTCAGACGCCATGTCGTCCAGAGTTCTCTCAGTCTCGTCGAGCCAGTTCATCAAGTGAGACCAGGCATCGTGGAACTCCCTGGCCTCCTTGTACCCATGGTCCAGAGCTCTCGTTCTCTCAGCTGATTTTGAGACCACTCTCTCCCACCTGTGTTGGACGGAAACCAGGAGATTCTTTATGAGAATGACGTCCTGCTTCTGGGAGAAGTACTTCAACTGCGTTCCCTTCTTGTCAAGATTGAGCATCGTCTCCCTGTGAACACCCACGTCCTTCTGGAAGAGCTTGTGCTCCTCTATCTGGCCCAGGATGTTCTCCATCACTCTGGACACAGGCTTGAGATTCGTCAGGACCTTCTCAGCGTTCGTTAACCAATCGACGAATGCCTGGAGAGCGTCGTGGAACTCTGTGGCCTCCCTCAGGGCTATTTCGAGTTTAATCTTCTTGTCGCTTGCTCTAGCAGTCACGCTGTCCCACCGCTGCTTCAGCGTCCTCAGGTTGTGGTTGAGGGAACTAGCACTCGAGGCATTGGCTCGCTTCAGGTACTCCTGGCCCTGCTGAAGCACAGTCTCCACTTTCGGTCTGTTCATCTCGAGCTCGTTGTACACCTCCATGAATCTCTCGAGCTGTTCTGAGGCTGTCTCGGGGAGGCCTCCCACTGGTCTTGATGCCACGATCATGTTGTCGACCTCTCCCAGCCAGGAGAGGAGGTCTTGGATCTCTGCTGTGAAGGTCTGGGCCTCGCGCAGGGCGTCCTCGAGCTCTCGTTGACGATCTGCAGCTCTCTGGAGGAGATCTCTCCATCTTCTGTTCAGAGTTCCTAGTTTTTCGGCTGTTGTTGATGCCTCGGCTGTTCCTTTCCCATCCTCGATCAGCTGTCTTCCAGCGTCGTTCAGCGTGTCCACGCTCGTCTGGTGAGCCTGGATGTCGTTGACTAGGACCTGCGATTCAAATATTCATTATTTCGTGATTAGACGGAATCCTCGGACGATTTTTTTTTTTTATTTGAAATATTTTTGAAGGGATATTTTATTGGGAATGTTATTATTACGTGTTTTCATATCTATTTCTATAGAACTATTGCCTTTCCTTTGAAATTATTTTATTTGTTGCGGAAAAAAATATTTTTGTTTAATTTTATCAACAATTTACTCTCTAAAGTTAATCAATATTATAATATCACATGAAAATTCAGGGTTTATTGGATTAATCAATGTTTCTGATGTTCTGCAATTTTTCGGATGAATGTGTAGGACGAAGGGGAAGGAAATGGATATTTTTGAATTTTTTAATAATTTTTTTTTATGGAAAAAATCCCATTTCATGAACAATTCAATAAGTGAATGATAAATCTAAAAAATTTGGAAGTCCATTTTGCCCGACTCGCCCTGTTGGAGTGGAATTTCAAAAAAATCTGCCATTGGAAATTCACATTTTAATGAAAAACTCAATGGAAACTGTGAATTTCAGTCCAATTATCATCATTATTACTATTATTCCATGAAAATTAGTAAGAATTTGGAAAATTCTGGTCAATATGGTGGTACTGAATGTTCATATTATTCAGTGAATTTTGAGTTTAATTTAATATTTCACAATTGTTTTTTTTCCTAAAGGAACAATTGATGACTGATTTAATATTGATTAACATTGATGAGTGAACAATGAGCGATTAATATTTCTTAAAAAGTCAAGTGTTAATTTTGCACCATCCTATGCATATCTAATATTTCTTTCGTTGTGATAAAAATAAAATATTCTACAAACCTTTAATTTGGCAAGCTCCACCTCGATCACCTGAGGATCGCCAGCAACAGGCTTGAGGTCGTCAAGCGTACGATCTGTCCTGTCTATCCACACGAGGAGTTCGTCCAGGGCGTGCTGGAACTGCCCCAAGCGCAGGAGGGCGTTCTCCAGGAGGCGCTGGCGCTCGACAACTCCACGAAGGAGTCCATCCCATCGACGATTGACTGCTCCCAAGGGCTCTTTTATCGCCGCTGCCTGCTCAGAAGTCGTTCTCTCCGTCAACTCAGCTGCTTGTCTGGAGAGAAAAATCATCGTTAGGGACTTGTCAGGCGGGGAATGCAGGATTAGGTGAGTTATCACACCTACAGCCTCAAATATCAGTGCTACATTCAACGAATTGTAATCAACGTTTATGCCAGATTTAAGCGCGAAGACTCTTTGCGGTTAAAGAAAAGAATGAATAATAAATAAAAGTAGATAAATTGCGGCTGCGGGAGAGTGGGGACGGGTGCTTTCGACTTTTTAAAGTGTTCACAACTCAGGAATGAAGCGCAATCATTCGAGGAATTATTGATATTTGAAATAGTCGACAGTATTCATCTCATCCAACTCTCGGCTGATAGAATGGATTTATCCCGTCCTGATTGGGAAAATACTGAGACCTTGCTCTCCATCAAAGCTACATACGCCTTTCGCACATTTAATTCAGGCGGGAAGGGATTATTCAACAAGTCAATTCTTCACGTTTTTATGACAATGGAATTATTTCTCAAATGAATGATTTCAGAGAAAAATTTTGTGATTACGATTTCGAAAAAATGATTTACATTTTGAAATTATTTTATGACCCTTTCTTCTTAGTAGATTTACTATTTTTTTTGTTATGATGAGAATTTTTGGCAGTTTTTATCAGATTTTAGTTGTACTGAAATTTCAAGGAATTTTGTGATTGGAGATTTCAAATTTTTTTTTCAATTAAAGAAAACTTTAATTTCAGTTCAATTATTGCACGAAAATTGATTGAAATCAGGAAAATTCCGATAAATATATTCTTGAATTCTCAATTGATTGAAAATTTAGTGTAATTTTATACTGAATATTTACGTTTTCATTGTAAATTCAAGTAGATTGGACAATTCTCATCTTCTTGCGATTAAAAAAATTAAAATTTCACTGAATTTCCAGTAAAACCGAAATTTCATAATTTTTCCCACTAAATCAAGTTCAATGTCACTATCCTAAACCTTGACAAGTCAATTTTTCATAAAATTTCAATTTTTTCCAACAGTCTGTTCCTTCATCGTTCAAAAAGCCAAATAAAATTCGATCCTTCAAGGTTTGCATACTAAAATCACTACAAAATTCAATTACTTTAAATTGATCAAAAACTTTGAAAATCTTCCATCTCCGAGATAAATCCAGAACAAAAACACGGAAAATCCACATTGACTCGTCGCCACGTACCCCTCCAACAAATGAACTCATGTACCGCCAATATTTCCATGCGCGTTTCATTACTCCTAACATCCAATGCAATACCGTGTTAAATTACATCCTCATTTTCCACCTCCTAATCCACCTCTCTCGTCCAAAACATTTAAAATTGTACACTTTGATAAGCCATGCTCTAACTACAGCGACAACACTGAGAAGTTGACTTGCCTCGTCAGACTCCTACGATTTTCCGGTATCCGAAAAATAAACATATCATTAATAACGTATCCTTCAGAGAAACTAGAGCCCCTAACAATCATCACCGAATTTACCGATCCCTCACCTGTTCAAAGCCTCCACCTTCACCATGTGTGGATCGACCTCAGCCTTGAAGTTCGCCAGTTGCCTAATCTGCTTCTTGACTTCATCGATGTCGCTGCCAAGAGGGCCCATATCAGCAAACTTGTCCTCAGCCTCCTGGAGGAACTCGAGAAGATTCTGCAGCGTCTCGTGGAACTCCATGGCCTTCTCCATGGCATCGATGAGGTTCTCCTCACGTCTGGCATACAGTGCAGTGACATTATCCCATGCCTGATCCAAATCCTCAATATGCTTCCTGACTTCGGGCTTGTCAGGCTCCCCACAGAGGCCCATGAGCTCGTGCCCAGACTGCCTGACTTGCTCGACATCAGGTTTAGTCTGATCAATCTCCTGCCTGATCTCCTGCAGAGCCACCTGCTGCTGTTGAATGGCAGCTGGCTGTGCAGCAGGTGGTGCCTGTCCAGCAAGAGCATCCTGAAGCTCTCGAAGTGTCGACATGACACCAGTCAACTCAGACCAGAATTTCTCAGCAACAGCCAGAGTGTCATCGAGTGTCTGGCCACGATCAGTGGTGGCCCTCTGCACCTCAGCCCACAATTTATTCAACTTCTCCAACTTCCTCTTGATGTCCTTGACGGCTGGATCAGCACGATTGCCAGCTTTACTGATGACATCGTCAGCAGCTTTCTTCACAGCCGCATAAGCCTCATTCCTCTGGGCCAAATCATCAGCAAGAGCCGCATTCTCCTCCATCTGATCCCTGAGACGTGGGGGATGAGCACTGATGGGCTCAGCCCCATTCACCTGATCAGCTGTTGAGCCCAGTGCACGCAGCATTCCCTCGAGTTTATCAGAGAACTGCGAGGACTCCTGGAGTGCCTGCTCGAGGGTCTGTTGACGAGCCCTCAGCTCGGCCCTCAGTGCTGCATAACGAGCATTGTCAGCATCGAGAATGTCCTGCACCTTTGCACCCTCTTCGTCGTTGCAGAGTCTGATGAGTGCCTCTCCAGTCTTGTTTAATTTCTCTATCAACGGTTTATGCTCGTTGATACTCTGCATGAGGAGCTCGTTCTTGTCCTGCTGAGCTGCAATCAGGTCTGGTCTCAGGGCAGGCATTGGGAGCATCGACACTTGATGCTCCACTTCCTCCAGCCAGCTGACTAAACCAGCATGAGTGTCCCTCAGATGTTCAGCCAGTGGCAGGGCCTGCTCCAAGGCACCAAGACGATCAGTTGACAATCCAGAGACAGTCTCCATGGTCTCACGAAGGTCCTCCATCTTCTCACGAATGGTGGACGTGTCCTCGTGATGAGTATTCTCACGAATCACCTTTTTAGCCGTTGAAATGACATCACGAACTCGTCCCTTCTGACTCGAGATGTCGTCGTTCAGGGCTTTGTGCTCCTTCAGCTGGACCCTGATGATCTCTGGTTCACTGCTGGGGGGCTCTGCCTCACGAAGTTGAGTGTCCACTTCCCTGAACCACTCGAGGAGTTCGTCAATGTCACCGATCACCTCCAGAGATCGTTGTTTACTGAGTTGAATTCTCTCAGCCTTCCTCTGGATCTGCTCGGCAATGGCATCGAACCTCCTGTTGTCTCGTGTCACCAGACCTTCGATGGTAGCAGCACCCTCTCCAGGCGATATCTGGCACAACTGGGGTCCAACAGTGTTGATTTTATCGAGAACTGGCCTGTACTCGGAGATCTCCATCTCGAGACGAATGATCTCCTCCTCTCGAGGCTCTGCTGACTGCAGGGCACCCTCTGCCCCCTGCATCCAATCCATCAGCCTGTTGTGATTGTCGTGGAATTGCTGGACGAGGGGGAGAGCCTCCTGGGCGTGCTTGAGTAGGTCTGAGCCTCGAGTCACCAAGTCGTTGAACCTCCTCTGAAGGGAGTCGAGTTTATCCTTCAGCTGGAGTGCCTCATCACTGGAGATATGCTTCATGAGTTCGAGGCCTGAGTCCGTGGTGCTGTCGACTTCAGTCTGACGTGAGGAGACCTCCTCAGTCAGGTCAGCCAGGTCCTCCATCTGTTGCAGTAGCTTCTCAGTGTGAACAGCAAGAACTCTGTATTTAGACAATCGTTTCTCCATGCTCTCCATCCAAGCCTGGAGGTCCTGGTACGTCAGAACCAGGTGACGAAGACCCTGTCTCGATCTCTGAAGGAGATTTCCGAGGGCCTCTGACCTCTCAACGAGACTGGCGTACCTGTCAGTGGCGTCCTGAAGCTTGTCAGCAAGGAGGGAAGCCTCGTCCTCACCCACCAGACTCATCAGTTGGCTCGCCACCTCCGTCAGCTCACTGAAGTACGGCTTCTTCGAGAGGATGTCATCGTGGAGGCGGTCGTGCTCAGCAACTCGCTGCTGAATCTTCTCCTCGTCAGTTGGCACCAGCTCCATGTCCTTCACCCTCTTCTCAGTTTTGTCCAGCCAGATTGCAAGGGGCATGAGCTTCTCCTGGAACTCCTTGGCCACTGCCATCGCCTGCTCCAGGGCCTCCATCCTCTCAGCTGCACCCTCTGTCAGAGCATCGAACCTTCCAACCAAGTCCGTCAGTTGCTTCTCAATGGCTTTACGCTCCTTGGGATCTGTCCCTGCTGCCACCTCCTGTCCCATGTTGTAGAGAGACGACATTGAATTCTGACGATCCATCAGCATCTTCTTCAGGAACTTCTGCTCCTGCAACTGGGCCTTCACCACTTTGTAGTCGGATGATGGAGGCTTCTGGTTGGCCACCATCTCCTCGGTGTCGGCCAGCCACTTTTCGAGGCCATCGAGGGCCTCCTGGAATTTTCCAGACTGCAGAAGACCAACGTCAAGACGGCGATCACGCTCGTTCAGCCTCTCCTTCAGGTCGTTCCACTTCTCGTTCATCTTGTCGAGATCCTTCTCTATTCCACTGGTGTTCACGTCCCTTCCAGCACTCTGCACCAGATTCTGACCCGAGTGATTGCATTCGTCAACAGCACGAGCTATTGGCTCGATCTTGGTGGCTTTCAGGGTTCTGAAGTCCTCTTGCTGAGCTTTGATGGAGTCAATGTCAGTGCCAATGGGCTTAAACCTTCGAATTTGATCGCTGGCCTCGTTGATGTCGTCCATTACGTCACCGTGGAGGTGGTAGAACTCCTGAAGTTTGTTCAGTGTTGCTGCTAGCTCCTCGTCCCTATTGCGAGAGCGTTCGTCAAGCCTTCCAAGCTGTCTCTTGAGACTGTCCACTTGGTCCCTGGTGGCCACAGCATCGGCTGCAAATCCACTGTCCACGAGGTTCTCACTGGTATTCACCAGCACTGCAATCTCGTCTGAGGCTCGATTTATCTTGTGAATGAGCTTTCCCACTTCTTCTATCTGCGATCTAACTGTTTTTATGTCACGGCCAGGCGCCTTCATCGTGTCCAATTCATTTTCTAAGGCTGAGAGGTCGTATGTCAGCCCCTTGATCTGATCGTTGAACTGGGCAACTGCTGTTGCTGCACTCTGGAGATCGTTGCAACGGTCGTCGAGCTTCCCTTGGAGATCGTTGATTCGATCAGCTAGGTTCTCCACTTCGTCCTGGAGGTGAGTTGCGTCTACACCCTGCTCGCGAGCACGATTCGCCAGGTCGTGGGCCTGCTGCTTCACCGCCTGCAGGGGCTTCTTCAGTGCTGTTGTCTCTTCTCTTAGGTTCTGAAAGGTGGGGACAGAGGGAGTTAGATTTTTGGAATGACTTATGTTGCAATGTAAAATCTTTTTAATTTACGTATGAAATTCAATTATCAATTATCTTTCACCACATCAATTTTATTACTGAAAAATTATATTCAATTTTATTCCTTGAAAATTCTCAAAATGGGAACGAAAGTTCAACGGGATACGACTCAGAACATATGATGTTTTCGTTTTAACGAAGAGTATTCAACTCGACTGAAAATTTATTAATAAAGTTGGTATTTGTATCCTAGAAATTATTGTCAGACAATAAATTAGTGTTTTTCTAATTAAGAAGTTATTGAAATGTTTAAATATTCCAGGCGAAGAATACGACCAGAACGTTTATGTGAATAAAAATTAGTGCCTCAAGTTTTCTAATTAATAAAACTTTGTTTTTAAAATGTTTATTTTATTAATTCCATTATTATCCTCGATATTAATTTCATTTAATCCCATAATTGTCATGAAATGAAAAGAAATATAAGTTTCACCACTCAATCAGTGCACTATACCTTTATTCTGTCAAGAAGTTTCGGATCTTTGGAGGCCCCTCCAAGAGCATCATGAGAAGCCAATTTGTCTTCACAACGCTGCACACCATGCTGCAGATCACGCAGATTCTCATTGAAATCAGCCAAGTGACGAGCTGTGTCCTCGAGTGACTGAGTGCGTTCCAAAAGGTCTGAAACAAAGCAAAAAAAAAAATCAAAACAACTCCACCCAAGAAATCAAATTCATTTTAAAAAACGCAAATTCATTCTAAAAATCAACCCACCATTATTCAACTTGTCCCACCTCGTCCTCATAGCACTCAACTCATTCTTAACAACATCCTTATCAATGTCACAAGCACTGAGGAATGTCTCCCCAAGCATCTTGTTATTCTCAAACTCCCCAGAGCGCTTCCAGACCTCGTTTCTAAACGACGAAAGCTCCTTCAGCTGCCGCTCGATATCCTTACGCTTGAAGGAGGCAGGCTTCAAGCTATCGAGCTTGTCCTCAGCCTGCCTCAGCCAGGGAAGGAATGAGTCCTGGGCCCTGTAGTACTTCTTGCAGTGTTCAGCACAAGTCTGCAGTTTAGTGTGTCTGTCCAGGGTGTCCTTCTTCAGTCGATCCCACTGGCTCTGCATCTTATCAAGGTCCCTCTGCAGAGCCCTGTTCTCGGTCTTGGGGGCCCTCATCAGGATGTCCCTGCCCTTGTTCAGCAGCATGATCACCTCATGCTCCTTCCCCATGACATTCCTGTAGATCGGTTCATGGTGATCGAGCTGCTGCTGGAGAATCTCCCTGTCAGCAGACACCAGAAGCTTCTCAGACATGTTGCCAAGTTCATCGGCAAGCCAGCCAAGAGTCTTGCTGCAGGATGCCTCGAATTGTCTCCCATCACGGAGACTTCCCTCGAGCTCGGCCTTCCTGTGGTCCAACTTCTTCTGCAAATTGGTGTAGAGCTTTCCAACGGCTGTCAGTTTACCCTGAATCTCGGACTTCGATGCGGGATCACTCAACACTTCGCACAATTGTGCACCAGCAGCTTCAGCGTCGGCGAGCAGTGGCCTCTGGCCCTCCAGCTGACGCTCGAGGTTCTCAATCTTCCTCAGTTGCTCTTCAGGGTCCTTGTCCAATGGCAAATCGTCGAGGTTGTCGGAAATCGCTTGCAGGGCGTCACGAAGACGATTCAGACTGGCGTCGAACTCTCTGCTAGTGTCAACAGCATCTCCGAGACTCTGGGCACGATCATCCAGACGTCCAACCTGATCATGCCAGCGTTGGAGGATGTTGCTGAGTTTCGTACGAATCTTGTGGCCATCAACAGAGTCACTGGGCAGTCGTCCACACACACTCTCCCCGACCTGCACCAGATGATCCAATTGGGGCTGTTGAGTTCTGAACTCTTCACGAAGAACCTGGACCTGCTGCACTTGACTAGCGACCATCCTTGGGTCTGACGAGATCGGCCCCAGGGCTCCCAGCATTCTCTCCTTAGCTCCCAACCAGGAGTTGAGGCTCTCGTAGCCATCATGGAACTCCTTGATGTCCTCCAAGAACCTGACTCTGTCCTTGCAACGATCTGAGATCGACTTCCAACGACTCGCCACGTCCTCCAGCTCGTCGTTCAGCCTGTCTGCACCCTCTGCGTTCTTCTTACGACGAACAATGTCTCGTACTTGGGTCTTTGTGCTGTCGAGGAGGGATTGCTTCTCATACATCTCTTCGACTATCATTTTTATCTGTTTGACTGTTTTGTCTGCTTCTTCTTTTGTGGAGGGAATGGCTTCCTTCGGAAGTTGACGTTCAATCTGAAAAGGGAACGAATTTAGGAAATACAAATAAATTTAACAAATAAAAAACAATGAAATGGAAGAATAAATGACTTCGAAATGAAACGTAAGACTATCTTCATCACGTATTATTGTTATGAAAACTATTCGTATGAGTTCCCTTTTCTCTTCTCAAATGGAATTAAATTAAAAGGAAGAATGAATGCAAAGGGAAGATTTCTGAAGCAATTTGCCTCTTACCTTATCCAAAAATTGGAACAAAGTCTTCAAGTTATCCAACAACTTTCTGATCTCATCCTTGATATTATCCAACTCTGACTGACGATCAGATAGCCTGACTCCCAGCAGCCCATACCGATTATTAATCTCAGACAGCTGCTGCTGAACCACCGACAACTCCTCCAGATGGAAGCCATCCTGGCTTGATCGTCTGCTGCTGAATCCACTGCTACCACCTGGAGATACCGGACTTTGAACCGCGTACGACTTAGTGGGGGAAGGTGAACGACCGTCTTGTGAGGTTCGGCGGACTACAAAAAAAATTGACAAAAAAAATGATGTGCTGAAAGTGATAAAGCAGTGTCCAGTCTGTCATGGGGCGATTGATGAAATGATAGTGTTTCATGGGGATTTTTGGCATCATCTCTAATTATTACGATTTTGTAATGTTATTAGTCATTTCGTCGCTAAAAATCATGACATGAACAGTTCATCACATGAACTCGTATTTCTTGCAATCTCCAAGAGATTATTATTGAAATGTTGTGTGCATTGTTGTTTTTTTTTTTCACAGTAATGAGTATTGATTGAAGAATTGTTATTCATTGGCTTTTGCTGGATCCAATTATAAAATTTCTGCCACTGATAAGGGATGACGTAAAAATAATAAATTGTAATCGTGATGAAATGTTTGTGTAATGAATTGAAGCTATGATTAAATAAACTGTGACGAATTGCCCAGTAATTAATTGGGATGATGAATTGTGCCATAAAAAGGAGAGATGGAATTATTTTGGCATCACTTCTATTTATTACGGTTTTCTAATCTTATTAGTCATTTTGTCACTAAAAATCATGACATGAACAATTCATCAGAACATTATTCATCACATGAACTTGTATTTCTTGAAATTTCAAAGAGATTATTATTGAAATTTTTGTAAATTTTTTGCATTGTTTTTTTTTACAGCAATTAGTATTAGTCGGAGGATTTTCATTCATTGGTTTTTCGTGGATTTAATTATGAAATTTCTTCTACTGATAAGAGATGACGTAAAACCAATAAACTGTAATCGTGATGAACTGTTTGTCCGATTTGCTATTGTCATGAAATATACCGTGACGAATTATCCGCTAACTAATTGGGATCACGAAGAGTGCCACACCAACTAGCCTTGAAATCTCATATTTTATACATACGTGGGCTGTTGATGCTGGTCCTCTTGGTGGGACTGGCGCTGCCACGACGTCTGGGTGGGCTCTCCCCGCGTTCCTTCAGCAGACTATCATACACAATCCCCAGATCATTGACCTTATCAATGGTGTTCCCATAGTCTCGATACTCCTTCTGAATAGGCTTGAGCTCATCAGTCTGAACCTTCAGTCTCTCCAGGTCAACAGCCACCGGCTGTAGCCTCGTCACTCTGTTCTCAGTCCTAGTCAGCCAGTCGAGGACCTGATCACGCAGTTTCTCGTAAGCCCCCAGCTGTTCAGCCCTGGACTTGCTGAGACGTTGCTTCTCATCAAGTAGATTATTCAGCTCCCTCCACTGGGTCTCAACAGCCTTGATCTTGTCCCGAATGTGCGCAGCATCAGTGATGTCCTTCTTCCCCACCAGATTCTTTCCATTTCGAATGAGATCCTCAAAATTGCCTCGTTGATCTTCACGTTTGTCCACCAACTGCGCCATTTTGCTCTCATACTCACTGACATCGAGCTTGGAGAGCTCCCTGGACTCGAGAATCTCGATCATGTGAGAGTACCACGTGTCAAACTGAGCAGTCTCCCTGGAGAAGTCGTGAAGTGCCTGCGCTATTTCCTCCAAGAATTCTCCCCTGCGCAGTGACTTGTCCATCAGCTTCTCATATCGACTCTGCACGTCCTTCAGCTTGCCCTCGATCCTCTTGGCAACCCGTGCATTGCTGGAATTAATCAACAAATCCTGAGCAGAAGCTGATATGGCCTCGACACTGGGACGATGGCTGTCCAGATCGGACTGCAGCATTCGCTGTTCCCTCTGCTGCTCCTCGAGGCGATCTTTGTTGAGGCTCGCTGGACGCTGCATGTTTTTGAATTGGCTCTCGACATTGTTCAGCCAGGCTACGAGGCTGTCCAGGGCGTCCTGAACCCCCTGGCTCTGCACCAAAGCTGTGTCCAGCTCCTGGCACTTCTCAGCGAGGGCGTTGGACAGCTGTCTGTACTTGTCCTCCAGGATTCTGACTGGTTCCTCGAGGAGACTGGCTTCGCTCGGTGTCAGCTGTCCGTCCAACGACCTCAGGAGGCTCTCAAGACTCGACTTGGCGTTGTCGATCAGTCGAGCATTCGCCAGCAGCTCGTTGTTGAGGGCTTTGGCTGTTGACAATTGCTCCTCGACTTGCTTTGGCTCAGCAGCAACTGGCTCTGCAATGACTCTCAGCACTCTAGGCTCAACCTCCTTCAGCCACTCTTTCGCCTTCTCCAACGAGTCGTGATAGTCACGCTGTCGTCCACCAACGCCTGACAATCGGTCGGAGAGATTTGTGGCGCGAGAGAGGAGGTCCTTGTACTGGGCTGTGACGATGGTAACTTCGTTGCGAACTGGTGAGTCTTGACTTGCTGTTGGCTCCTTGTGGGAGAGACGCTGAGGGAGACTCGTTCTGAAGTCGTTCAGCACCTGGAGGTATTCTCTGCTCTCGTCCACGAATTTCTGCGCTGCCATCGTGATGAAACGAAGGTCGGCCTGGTGGGCTATCACGTCGCTGATGAAGTCCCTGGTGGTGTCTGTGCTCGAGCTGAGTCTGTTCAGGTCGGAGAGCGAGCGCTCCTTCTCCTCTAGGACTCGACGGGCCTTGTCCAGCCAGGAGGAGAAGGAGGAGATCTCGTTCTTGAATTTAGTTAGTTCGTCTCGGGCTCCTGCCAAACGCCGCAGGAGGCGATCTGTGCGATCCGCTGATCGGTCGTAACGAGTCTTCAGGGATCTGCCGTTCTTCTCCAGGGTCGCCACCTCGTCGCTCGATAGTACGTCGCTTCCGGTTATCACCACCTGGCGGATTTGGTCCAGGACCGAGGACACTGGACGGTTGTGGCTCTCTATGTCCTCCTTTATTTGCTGTTGTGGGCGAGAAAGGGAAGGGCGCGGATTTAGAACGTTTCGGGCGATATTTCAGGGTCAGGATTTAAATTTTTATGAGTTTCAGGGAATTTTCGAGGATTTTGGAGGTTCGCCGTAGTGATAGTTCGAATGGGTTCTTTGTCCCGGACGGGTGCTCATGAAAATTCAGGTGAATATGTTCTTGAATTTTCAATTGATTGAAGACTATGCGTAAATTGGGAGGGAATGGATGGTTCAATTGAAAATTCCCGGCTTTCTGCTGCTCAAGAATTTAGGATTTCCGTGAAATCTCAGGTAAATCTTAAGTTCCATTATTGATTCACCCCTTAAATTGAATTCAATGTATCGTTGAAAATTTTTGCGCAATTTGGTACTGAGTTAATGTTTCAATTAAAAATTCCCATCTTGCTGTTTAAAAATTCGGCATTTAATTGAAATCTCAGTCAAATCTGAAGTTTCACAGTTAATTCACCCCCTAAATTGAATCCAACACACTAATGAAAATTTTTGGCTAAAATTTTAAGGAATTCCGTAATTGAAAATCCAAAATTTCACCGAGAAATTGACGGAAGCTGTAAATATCAGTTCAATTATTCCATAAAAATCGATATAAGTCCAGAAAATTTCGTTCAATATATTCTTGAAATTTCAGCCAATCGAAATTGCGTAATTTGGCACTGAATAGTCTCTTCATAAAAAAATTCCAGAATTTAGAATTTCCTTAAATCTTCACTAAAATCTGAAGTTTCATTATTTCTACCCCCCTAAATTAAATTCAATGTCACGCTCCTAAAAATAACTAATTACTGTCCATGAACCTTCAACTATTCTCTAACAATGCAGTTATTCCTTTCAAATTTCCAAACAACCCTCAGATTCCCAGAATTCATTCACTTACCTTCATGATGTTTATCTGATTCCTAAGATCCTCAATATCTTCCCTGACAACATCCTGATGCGCGAGTTTGTCCTCAACATCAGAGATCCATTGCAAGAGTTTCGTGAGTGTTTCATCACACACCTTATACTTCTCCTTAACCGCTTGCTACAGAAATTAGGATAGAAAGAGCGTTAATCACTGGAGTCAATTAGCCAAAGTTTCTGATTAGTTCGTAGAAACTATCGCCATCTCACCAAAGGCGATATTTTTACGAATTAAAAGTTTCATGAGCCTATGGCATAACTCACACATGCAAGCGCAAACACACAAACAAATCATACACGTAGATTTACAAAGTAAATTACAATAGTACAGTATATTCGGGTAGCTTTAATTTATCTGCAAGAACTGCATACTTCCATGGTCTTATTATATTCTTCAATGCAGTATAAAAGCAACTGTAGAATGTCTCGCCACGTAGTGCATCTGGCGAGATATATTCCAAGCAAATAAATTAAAACGCACAATCATGACAGTGTAATTGCTATGAAATAATGCACTGATATGAAATGTATTCAGAATAAAATAAAAACAACAAAATTATCATAAATAGAGAAAACAATAGAGTAGTAAATACCTGGAAACAGTAATAGAAACACAAATATTATCAACAAAATTGAGAAAAAAAAATAAATTACAAAATAATTCATCACATGTTAATAATTAAAAATTAGAAACTATTTCACAGTTCACGTAATTAAGAACTTTTCAATTAATTCCAAACACACGAAGTCAAGTCTATCACAATATTCGACTAATGAAAATTTTTAAAAACAATATCTCGTGATACTGAACTTATTCCCTGCATGAAGATGTTTGATACTAACTTGGCCTTCATCAACTTGTAAACAGACAATATAATATAAAACAATAAACTACTTAATAAATCATTCAAGCGATAAAACATTGCGAAGGGCAGAGGGAAACATTCTCTATAATTACAAAATAATTAAACGTAAGTTAACTAAATACCAGATGTAATGTGAAAAGGCCGAATTAGCGTTGCTGATGCGATAAATCATAATATTTCATCTCTGAATGAATGATTTCACGAAGCGATGGAGGATTTTGTTGTTATGATACATGATGATGTGGCCCATTGAGTCGACTTGTCAATTCGCCAACAACCGTGTAGACAATGGTCATTTATTCATAATGGTTAGTGTCCAGGTCCATGTGAATTTCGGGGGCGGGGGGGTGAGGGAGAGTAATTTTATAAGGGATATAAATAATTTACATTCAAGTCCCCACAGCGAGATGATCAACAAGCACAAGGATGTAAGTATTATGTCAAAATGGAATTACACTAACAAAACAACAAGAAAACAATTAACAAGAAGCTCTCATCCATATTTCGTCACATGGGATATGGTCTTGT